CAAACAAACAAACAAAGCCTTATAATGAGAGAGATTATGGATAAAATCGAAGAAAGTAGAACAAGAAGCAGGCATAGACTCACTTGGCTCGATAACATTAGATAGTTCATTGGAGATAAGAAGGTTAAATTAGAAAAGCTGATAGTGCAGACTTTTACTGGTCTGTAACAACTAAATTAACTGTGTTTTCAATAGAATACACGCCACATGATAAAGCTAAAGTTTATACTGGTTTCTAACAGCTAATTTGACCGTGTTTTCATCAGAACATATGCCACATAATAAAGCTGGTACTTTTATTGTGTTTTCAATAGAATGCACGCCACATAATAAAGCTGGGGCTTTTACTAGTTTTGTTTTAGCTAAACTAACTGGTTTCACTGCAATACAAATGTCATATAATGAAGGAAGTATTTTACTTGTTTAATAGTTAGACTAATTTATCTGCGTTTTTACCACAATATATGCTACACTATAACGATGAGGTTTTACTGTAACAGCTAATTTACAATGAAGCAGAGTTTCTTTTGGTTTTTAATAGTTAACTTACACGTGTTTTCATTATGATATATATCATATAATGAAGCAGAGTTTCTACTGGTCTGTAATAGCTAACTTGCATGTGTTTTCATTATTATGTATATCATACAACGAAGCAGAGTTTCTACTGGTTTTTAATAGCTAATTTACTTCTATTTAAATTATGGTATATATCATACAATGAAGCAGAGTTTCTATTGGTCTGTAATAGCTAATTTACTTCTATTTACATTATGATATATATCATACAATGAAGCAGAGTTTCTATTTGTCTGTAATAGCTAACTTACTTCTATTTACTTTGTGATATATATTATACAATGAAGCAGTTGATTTATCAGTATTTTCACTATGGAGAAAATAATTTATTTCCTTGTAAGAGCTGAAATGATTAAACTCTGCGTGTTAGATGTCTAATAAAGTTGCAAAGCGTTATGTCATGTTTAACTGTGCTGCGGAAGAACTTGTCCAGTGTAAAATGAATTCGTTTTTTGTTAACACCTCGAGTATTAATCGAAGGATATCTTGTCTCTGTATGGCCAGTTCCTGATTCCCAGAGCCAGTAAATCAACGTATACAGCTTTTTATCACTGTAAACGGCATCTTTGCACATTTTATTCATTCGTAAATGATCGTTATTACATTGAAAATATGAGTGAGAAATTAAAATTAGAGTTTTAATTTATGGTAATGAGAAATGTGCAATATGTGTGTGTGTTATAAAATAAATATCATCTGATATGTATTTCTAAAAAAATTCTTATGTAACAGGTCGTTATTATACTCAAAATAGGTGTTTTAATTTATGAGATGGAGAAATTTTAAATTCATGTATATTCTTCTGAAAATCAAAAAGAAAATGCAGGTTGTTGTTAAACACTGTTCATATATAACTGGATATGATATGTATAAACTTTCATAGTGTATGATTAACAAATAAAACACTACATTTACCAACTATCGAACGGAAGTTGCAGCCTAAAAACATTGTCCAAAACTCTAAAGTTCTTATAAGTTTCGCGCGCAACCACCAAATTATGTTTGTTATGGATTTCGCGCAAAGATACACGAGGGTTATCTGCGCTAGCCGTCCCTAATTTAGCAGTGTAAGACTAGAGGGAAGGCAGCTAGTCATCACCACCCACCGCCAACTCTTGGGGCTACTCTTTTACTAACGAATAGTGGGATTGACCGTCACATAATAACGTCACCACGGCTGAAAGAGCGAGCATGTTTAGTGTGACGGGGATTCGAACCCGCGACCCGCAGATTGCGAGTCGAGCGCCCTAACCACCTGGCCATGCTGGGCCTACCACTAAACTAATTAGCAAGTTTCACAGCTACCTGTTAAAAACTCCCTTATAGGTGCGATAAATTTTGGATAACCACTCGTAACTTGATAAAAAGTCCTAGCATTTCGTTTTTTCTGTTCTGTTTATCCAAGTTTTCTCTAAGACCTAATATAAATAACTTTCTCATCAATTTCAACGAATGCTGTTTACACATTTTTTTATTACATGACCGATTCACCCAAACGCTGCTCTTCAATAATAAAGTTGTAGCGATTTAGTATTAAACTTTTGTAACAAACTAAAGAACTATAATAAGAACTTAGGCTCTAAAACAGTTTACTTTTGTTATTTAATCGACGTAATATAATTAAAAGTGGATCTTCAAAATAAACGTAACATAACAACAATGGGATTTCAAAAATAGTTTTTATTTGTAATTCAACTAACATAATACATTTAGAAATGTATCTCCAAATTAATTTACTGTTGTAATTCAACTGACATAATACTTTTAGAAATGGATCTCTAAACACTTAACTGTTTTAAGTCAACTAACATAATACATTTAGAAATGGATCTTTTAAGTAGTTTATTTGTGTAATCCAACTAATGTAACATAATTAGAAATGAAGCTCCAAAACGGTAATCTGAATTTGTTTTCTCCAGAAGCTCAATTCCAAGCATCTTTTATCTTCTGAAACAATCGCATAATGTACGTTTTCTAATTTCTAATTGGGCAGTCTTTCAATGTTATCCAATACATATATAACAATTAATACATGTCTTTTAGAAATAGACACATAAATAAGTGGACATATCAACATGTCCTTTTCAATGCAGTTATATTTATATATATATATGAGTTAAAAATGGGTACACTTAAGTAACTATTTAAACGTGTATAGGATTTTGGTGTGAATATGGTGCACCTCAATAAACGTATAAATACGAGAGATAAGAGTAGTGAATCTCAAAGAATGATAGTATGAGCAGTGTATTTTTCAATATATATATACACACAAATACTTGGAATATAAGAGTGTATAACTCAGTGCAAGGGATAGTGGTGAGTACGACTCGGTGTGGGGCGTATACATCTCGAAGGTTAAATTATTTCAAAGTATATCTTTTGGTATTAAGAAAATAATCAATTGAAAATGTTTACTTACAATTTTTAACTAGAAATTTGCAACAGTGGAAGGCACCTCAAGGAGGGTGGGGGTGGCGGTTACACTAATGCAAAATTTCCTATTTTCCTCTCCATGCCCGTGTAAAACATTTCAAACTACGGACAAACGTAACTCAAATAAGCACGTGTAATATTATTCAAAACTACATTCTATACGATAAAACTTTACTACCCGTCATTGGCTGAGAAACTGTAACACAACATTGTTCTCATTCCTTGAAGTTTCAGTCACAAATGTGAAAATCTCTGCTTAACTTATCTCAATGAAATGTATTTATAAACTGTTTTTGTTTGTTCTTTAACTTTAAGAGCTTTGTAATTTCTAAACCACACTTTATATAGAGTCTCAGGAGTTTGGAATATTATAAATTTAACATGTTATCATTTTACAACTAAAGCTTAGTTTCGAGGAATGGATTGAGTCATAAATATAGAAGTTTAGTTTTTCAATGCACATGTTACAAATAAGCTTCAAAGTAATTTTCCTTGTTATTATCCATAAATTTCAATCTCTTACATAGAATTTTAAAACTGAATCGAATACAGTTAATCTCCAGAGAGATTTTATTAATGCACTTGGGCACGCTCTTGCTGTAGTTGCAATCAGAACCTTCGGTTTATTTATACGCACAATTTCGGTTTTTTCGACGTTTGATTTTTGGTTGCACACAGTTTATCATAAACACTTTAGGGTAGATAGGGGAAATCAAAGATTTGTTCCCACCCCCTCGTTAAAAGCTGGTTTTAATCATCGCTTAATTTAACCAGTTAGTCTATCGATTTTTTGCTCCTATTACTTTATGAGGAACTTTTTCACAGCTTTTTATGAAGGTTATAAGAACCAACGTACTTAGCCAAGTTGATGATTTGGAGGTCTAATGTGATAAGAAAAGTCATTCCAGATAACTAGTTACTGTGAGCTCTCTACTTTCAGATTACCCGAGCCTCGTCGTGTGTCGTTAAAACAGCCCACCCACCATTTTGTTACGTCCATATAGATAAACAGACCAATAGAGGGCTTCGCTGCGGTAGGCCTGCCTTGTATTCACGCCACTTATCAACAGTGATGGTAATACTTAATCGACATACTGTCTGTTTGAGAGTTATTGACCTTTTGGTGACAAACCGTTTGTCGACATAGGCCAAGAATATTTGATATTTTGAAAGTATAAATATGATATAGCCCTATACGTCGAGTGCATTCAGTGTTAACTTCTCTGTAAAAGTCCCAACAGACAGGGGATTAGTCTACTCTGTCTGGAGACGAAAGCTATATTCTTAGTGGCGCCCTACGTACTTTAGTGCCCCCAGACAATGATAACACAAACGAAACACAAGAAAGCTCTTCTGTTTCTCTAAGCTCCGAGTTTACCAAAACCGTCGATAAATAATCGGTTTCCTCGACCAGTCAACTGTCACATAATTACTCATTAAGAGATAAATGGTTCCATCAAGTTATCAGCTTTGTATCGCTATTGTGGGACAATGAAAACTTGCAATTGTTACAGTGTTGATAACAGGCTAACGTATAAACAACGTTTAAAAGGAGCATTTAGAGCTGCTATACGAAACAGGTGAGAGATACAATAAAATGGCAATTACGGCGTGTCACGAAATAAAGTTTATCTTCAATGCGTTGGATTACCATTATGGCGCCCGGTTTTTTTGAAGTCTGATGGTTTCAATGTATTGTTTTATCAATATGGCGCCTAGTTTTCTTGCCGTTCGATCGTTTCCATGTATTGGACTATCATTATGGCGTCTGGTCTTTTTGAAGTCTGATAAATTTCGTATATATATTATATCACCATAATGACACCCAGTTTTGGAAGTCTGATAATTTCTACTTATATATATATATATATTAGAATATCATAATGGCTTTCAGTTTTTGAAGTCTGGTCGTTTCAGTGTATTGTATTATCATTATGGCGCTGGTCTTCTTGAAGTCTGATAATTTCCACAAAAATATATTAGACTACCATAATGGCGCCCAGTTTTTGAAGTCTGGTCGTTTCTGGGCTGGCATTATGGCGTCCGGTTTCCTTAAGTCTGATTACCCTGTAATACAAAAGTAAGACCATCAATTTATGCAAATTTATTTTGTCATAGTTATTATCAGTAGCTTGTAATCAAAGCAAACTAACTGTATAGATTAGAATCGAACACTAACTAAAAATCTGATTTGTAAATGAGTTAAATAAATACGATAATAATTACAATTCACTGTTTGATCTGATTCACATCATCGCAGATTGATGATTTTTATATATATATATATATATATATATATATATATGGTTGCCATGAAACCAGTTTCTCCAGATACACTGTAATGCGGATGGTTGTCATTAATTTTTTTATTATCATTATTAGTGGTGTGATTGCCACAAGAAGGTACCCACTGAACCCCAACCTTTGCCTAGGGAAATAAATACTTGCTTGATAAATAATGTAGTTGAAAAACAAGAAATAAGGTAAGTTAACTTTTTCATATAGCAATAGCTATATTGAAAACTGAGAATACTGAAACTACAAAAACAAAAGAAAATTGGCTGAACCAATTCGATGAATACCGATATAACAAAATCATTTGAATCTGTAATAAAACAAAACAAAAGTATTTATTTTCTTTATAGGCATACAACAATGATGCAATGGCCTAAAAAAAATGATATTTTTGAGATATCATCCTGGCCCGGCATGGCCATGTGGTTAGGGCGCTCGACTCGCAATCTGATGGTCGCGGGTTCGAATCCCCGTCACACCAAACATGCTCGCCCTATCAGCCGTGGGTGCGTTATAATGTGACAGTCAATTCCACAATTTGTTGGTGAAGAGTAGCTCAAGAGCTGACGGTGGGTAGTGTTGACTATTTGCCTTCCATCTAATCTATCGCTGCTAAATTAGGGACGGCTAGCGCAGATAGCCATCGTGTAGCTTTGCGTGAAATTCAAAAAACAAACAGATATCATCCTAAATGGTTGAAAACATTCCAGTGCAGACGCTAACGACACCTGTGATACTGATTTCGAGCAATAAAAAAAACTGCAATTCCCTAGCATATGTGCATTTTCCCCCAAATTAACCAATAGCATTCCATTTACATGCGAATATATTTTTTTCTTTTTGTTACTATAAAAAAAGATGTCAGGCGTGGGCTGGTGTTTAGTGTGTCGGGCTGCAGGTCGAAAGCTCTGAAGTTCGATTGTTTGTTTGTTTGAAGTTAAGCACAAAGCTGCACAATGGGCTATTTGTGCTTTGCTCACCACGGGTATCGAAACCTGGTTTCTAGCGTTGTAAGTTCGCAGACATACCGCTGTGCCACTGGGGGTGGAGTGGGGACTCTCCAGTTTAAAGAACCACACAAAACTTCTTGTAGCGCCGGATACTGCTGGTTGACTGTTTTGACTCGCGTCAGTACAGCTTAAAATTAGGGATAGCCATATATCGATCGTAAAGATATCTGATCTGACTTTTCTGTTCACTTGCGTATAAAGTGCTGTTCAGGTTGAAAATTCCAGTTCCACACTAGACAGCGGTCTAGTGAGGAGAATAGGTATGGGGGAACATTTATACTGTTTTCAAATATGTCTGTGTGTGTCACGTAACTCTTCCTAAGCCGCTGGTAGTATAGACTTCTCAGTGATACCAAACGAATCGTCTCGGTTCCGAGGTTTACACAAAGGTACAAATTTTCACCCCACCACTTTGGGAACCCGGGTATTTCGCGAAAACACTTTTACGGGGATTACTCGAAAACGGACCCCAAATTTAGCATTGATTTACACTAGAGCACGCAAGTAAGTAGGCATATTAGTTACCGTTCGTCACTAGGTTAAAAAAATTTAATTTCATTATAGCAGCATTGATTAAACTGAAAAAGTGCAAAATAGTAAATCAAGCATTAAATTTGCATTATAGAGGCCTTATAAATGTGGGCCATAGGCTCACGGGTTCGCTAGTACTTACTCACAATTACTGCTAATTGTAAAAATGGATTTAGATAAAACCTTTTATCTAAAAAGTTTGCAACGTTGTCGAACAGCTACTGCTTCTAACGGAAGCCAATGACTGCTTTTAAGATTGACAGAAAGAGTTAGGGACAAAGATAACAAACTGAGAAAGTAACGTAGAATCGCAGCAGGAAGAGAGAAGATTAAAGATTAAGTGTGTTGTGGGTACGTAGAAGGATAAAATACAAGTTGTAAAGTATGTTGAAGAGATTCTTAGAGATGATAAAAGAGTAAATAAGTAAGGCAATGAGTGCTCTATCAATGTGACAGGAAGACAGAAGACTAAGTAACAAGGTATGTACTACAAATGTTAAAGTAAGATAGAAAACCAAGTATCAAAATATGTTCTAGAAATGTTACACGAAAATAGAAAGGTAAGTAACAAAGCGTGTTCTAAAAATGTTACAGGAAGACAGAAAAAGCAATAGCAAAGAGTGATAGAAATGTTACAGGAATATTTCAGTGGTAGATTAAACAATAAAGTTGTCATGTTCAAAGTACAACTTTCCTCTCTATCGCTTTCCATAATACATCTAGTGCACAAAGATGACGATTTCTCAGTACCAGTTTCAACATTCAGATCGCACAGAAGTACATAGAAACTGTATCCGGCGACTTGACAGGTATGTCTTCATATGGATTAAGATAACATGAATACTCTTTGCATTCTCCAGCTGCTTGAGATATGCCACCGTTGAACTAATATATCGTGTAAATAACTTGTGTATACCTAACCTGCGCAACTTTTCCAGATTCAGATTCTTCTTGATTATATTGTGTACTGTTGCCTGAGGCACGTAGAGTTCTTTGTGTTCGAGGATTCTCACCTTCTACAAGGTGCTACACCTTGTTTATTGTGGGGGTACGACTTGCTGCAGGTCTCTTTCTTAACGGTCCTGATAACCCATGCTGATTTTTATTTCTTTGTTTTCCAATGTCATTAAGTAAAATTCCTCTTGGAAATTATAAATATCCGATCTTAACACATCTTTATGGTCTGAGTATATAAACATTTTGAGTCAGAAAGAGCTGTTATATACCATTTCATAAAGTGATCAATTGTCAGCGGCATCACACTACTTACGTAAAGCCAAGTAATGTCAACATGCAGTTATGATACACGCCATTCCATCATTAATTTATATTGGATGTATTTGTCACGTGACTTGCTGATTTACATATTCAAAATCATTTTAACGTAGCATACTCAATCCTTTATATAGAATTTCCATTTTACACTAATTCTGCTCATTCTTAAATAGTTAATCTACAAATGTATGTAGCATTAAATAACTAACTGAAATTTCACTGTATGTTTCTGTTTCTGATAGAGTAGAGTTGGAAAACCAAGTGGTACCCATTAAATCATGCCTTCTAACTACAATGTATATGTAGTTCTATCCTATAATAGTTATGTTAATGGCAATTGACCAAGCTACTAAATTAATGCTTTTGAAATAGACACATTGTAAATGTATTTATTTACATTTAATGCAGAAATATCATAACTATATAGTAACAGTCAAGTATAAACAACTTTGATGTAATGTTTTAGCTACAGGTCCAGTCAAGCTAATTGGTATCACCAGTGATATAATCAGTGTTATCTTTGGGAATCAATATTCATCACTGACCCTGTAATAACACATTACAGTGTAATTCTTGTTGCTAATTTTACACGTGCATCTGGCAGTTGTACATTTGTTTTCATTAACTTTTGAAGTATCTCAGAACCTGATGAAAGAAAGCACATGATATGGTGGCAAACTGAACATGGTTGGACACAATAGTCGATCCTCATCCTTCTACCCATATTCTGTGGCTGTTGAAAACTCAGGACTTATGATGATGTCAGCATTTCAAATCTTTTCAGTTTCTCAATCTGCAGTTCTTTTTTCATTGTACACCAGCTATTTCATCATTAGTCTTTATAAATTGTTGTGGTATGTTTAATCTTATTGGCAACAAGAGAGCTGTCCCATTATCATTGTCACTTTAATATCGTAGCTACATTTAAAATGTTCACAACATCATAAATGAAGCTCATTAAACTTATTGAAATTCTGCTTAAGTCATCCCTTCGCTGGGTCGTCCCTTGTGTTTATCAACTGTGGATTGCTCATAGTCTGTAAGTAGACCATACCATATGTAACTATCACATGTTTTCAGGAAGATGAGGAATGATCTTTATTGATTGGCTTCAGCAGCAGAGGCATCTCCTCCGGACTGGTCCATGAGTGTTGTTCCATCAGGGTAAGTATGGGCCAGGGAAAATGGAACAACAGAAAATTAATATATGACAATATTGTGTTCTAGGTTAATCTGTAATCTTGAGCAGGATACCACAAGTAAGTTGTCCAGAAAAGGCTTCTTCAGCTCAATATTTTTTCCCTTGCCTGAACAATCAGATTTGGAACAAACTTGAATGTTTTCAGCACTTGTTTCTTCATAAGAGCTCAAGTGTTTACCCAATCACTTTAATGTGTTCCTCCACAAAAGTTGGGTAGTATACTTTGTCATCTATTCTTGAGTGATCATATTAGACCTGAGTCGCTTGCTGCCAATGTCAACTAGATTTATTCTATCACACGTGAAATGGTTAGTTATATTTTTTAAGAACTGTCATAACTTTGATAACATTAATTTGTTGTTGGCTTTGATTGAGAGTTCAATGTGATATCTACCACATTTGGGATACTTGTTGTCTACAGCCCTCTTGCTACTTCCATACTTCTGTTTAAATGTTTCAAGGCACGATATGCGGTGCAACCATTCCTGCGAGATACAGTGTATTTTTCATGGTTCTGTTTTTATGTACAAAGAAAAACGTGTCAAATATCCCAGTACATATAACTGGAGCTTTAAAAGCATAAAAGTGATCGGATGAACATCGTTCTTGACTTTACCATGCACATGACTGCCATCTGTATATAAATAGTAGCAAGGAACCACAGCTTTCACACATCTTTCCAAACACTTTTCAGACTCCAGAAATCTTTTATGTATCCTTCTAATCATAACTTTGCTACAACCACTCTTTGCTTT